GTTGAATGAATATAATTTACTTTCCTAATGCTAAAATTGGTCCTACATAGTGCGAAATGTTCATTACAAAAAATCCAGCATAGCTCAACTCATTGTGCATTGTGCAGCTTGTAGGTTTTGCATGGTTGTAGGTTAGGGTCTCGGGAGTAAGATAGCATAACATGGCAGGAATAGACAGATAGTCTGCCTTCACTTGTTCCATGGGGAGAGCAGGGAGGTTTCACAGGCTGAGGAGAACTCGATAGTAATCTAGCTTTCCAGTATCTCAGACAGTTCACTGTACTTTCCCAGATGAAGATCTTAATTACTGTTGTTGTTCCTGACAGAACTTCCTTCAGATATAAATAATAGCTCGGCGTTTTGGATCACTGTGAAGAGGAATTGGTCAAAGGAAATGAAAGAAAAGTGGCCGTAACATGTGGATGTGTTGTAATTATAACTGAATTATCAAATTAATTCTCAAAACCGTGCCCAAAATACAGGTGTGTGTGTCCACTAACCCAGCTCTGCTTGTCAATGGTCAATTACAATTCCGTATGAGGCAAGAACTTGAAATTTTATCAGTGTCCAACAAGGAACAATTAGGTAGGATTTGTACTCTGTATGGCTGGTTGAAAATAATAGTATTTATTGGGAGTCAAACCCGAGTCAAAGAAGGGCTGAGCTGATTTTCAAACCATGTGCGATTGCAGTGCATCTGTCATTAAATAGTAAAAGAAGTTTGGATGAGGAAACTCCTTTGGTCTGTTTTATCTCATCTTCTCAAATACCCATTCTACTGTCTTCCTTTTACAGACTTGAGTTGTTTGTGTTTAAGTCACTCCAGTGTCCTGGCCTCGACCACCCTTTCTAATAACCCGCTTCAGTTGCTGGTGCCCTCTGTGCGTGGAAAACCTTCCCAGACAACATCCTAGAATTGCCCTTCACAACCACAGTAGCCCTCAGCAATACACAAATCAAGCCTAGCGGAAGAACCAGAGTGTAATTTCAAACTCCGTCTCTTTCTATTTCAGTCAAACAAGAGTCCAAGATGGAGTGAATTGATCATATTTAACCAGCTGGGAATGATCAGTTGAAAGGGTTTCTTGCTCGTGTTAAACCGGTTGTAAACTTGATTCATTGCACTTGAAACTGAGAGGGTTTGGCACAATTATTTTAATTCCTCACTGAAAAAGCTTTTGAGGGTGTTTTATATCTTTGATAATAATAAATCTTGCTAATTTTAAATGCTTCGGAGGGATTTTTTTAAAATGGGTTTGGAAGAATGTTTGGGGGGGATAATGATAATATGTCTGTTCACTGATTAGGACATCTCACAGCTTTGCTTCTGTTTATTCCACTGATGAATCACTGACTATGTTAAAAGAGCAGAGTAAGCAAATGGGGGTGGGAAGAATAAAAAAAATCCAATCTTTAACACAAAGATCTCCTTGGCTGATTCGATAATTATTTGGGGGATTTATGGTTTGTTCTGCAGCTTTGATGGTTTCATTTCTAATTTTATTTGATTGGACAATAGAATTCCAGGGATTTATTTATCTATTCATAGTGACCTGTGTCAACACTATTTATGGGATGCAAAGAGTTAAAAATCGTAACAACGGGATCATTTGGGAGAATTTCTCCCATCAAATACCTTCGTGATTTAATTTCCACCCCAATTGTTTCTTTTCACAGAAGGTCATGCAGAATTTCCTATTTGGATTCGCAAATTGTGAAAAAAATCAACAGTTTGCTCTCCGCAGTCACCTCACAGGGACTGCACTTTAACCAGAGATGCACAGTTATCAGTTTGGAATCGAGGGCGGATATGAGAATTCATTTGTAACTTCTCACACTTTCTTTGGAAGTAACTCAGATCAGTTTGATACTGATTATGATAATCCTTTAACGTCAATAGAAATTGATTCCTTGAAGTCTGCATCAGATACGACTTTGTTAAATCTTCCCCATTAATCCAGTTCTGCATCTTTTATTCACTCCCTCAAATCATTTTTATTTAAGGCCACTCGGTTAATTAACAGCAGTGGAAATGGAATGTCATCCTTTTCAACTGCAAATCTATTCGGTTCGATCTTGTTAAACATTGTTAAGCGAAAGCCTTGCCTTTTGTGATCTTTACTTAAAGAGAATAGGTCATATATTGTTTTGTGAAGTTTGCAGATGTGATCTGTATACGCAATTCACTTTTATTCCCTGAATAATTGTTATTTCTGAGAGTTGGAAACATTAAAACATTACTATTGATCTCACAGATAATTTACATTTCAAAAACCTTCAGCAAAAGTTCAGAATAATTATTGAAATATTTTATAAGATTGCCTGTTTTCTCAGATAAATAGTTCAGTGATTTTTTAAAAATAAAAGAATACAGAAATGAGACATATTCTGGAGCTGTAAATGAAACAAAGTCGTGTTCAGCTTAGATTGAATTTATTCATGACATTTTTCTCATCTTAAAGGAAATGGCTTTGACTAATTCTATCGTTGTGGTATATTTTTCTGAAACAATTTGCTCATTTGTTTGGGGAATATAAAGTAATAGGATTCCGTTTTACATAATTTTAGTAAAGATCAATGCATTACAGGTCAGAATAAATTTTCCTCTTTCTGCTTTACAGATTGGACTTTCTATATCTTGTGTTGTAGAAAGAAAAAACAATCCTTGCATTTGACATAGCGCCTTTTCATGTCCGGAGCGCTTCACATATTATATTGTAAAGTGTAGTGACTGTGTATTTTGTAGGAGGAAAACACGGCAGCCAATTTGGATGCAGAAATGTCCCGCAACAGCCAAGCAATATTAGCTGCAATGTTGGTGGGTGGAACACGACCAAATTTATTTGGGATTGTGGGCCACAACACTCGAAGAAAGTCCCTTCTTATTTTGCCTCAGACCTTTAATGTCTATCTGACCAAGCAAATGGAATCTCAGTTTAACAACCAAAGTACGACACCTCCAACACTGCCGCACACCTCCAGCACTGCATTAGAGTCAGCTTAGACTATCTGAGTTTCAGGTCCTGACATGGGGCTTGAACCCACAACCTTCAGGCTCCGAAGCAGGCTGACACATGAAATCCATTTAATCTACTAATGTAAAATTGTCATTTAAAGTAATAAAAGTGGAGAGATGTACAGTACGATTATAAAGTCTCAGCCAAAATAGGTATGAAAATCACTTTCAAGTATTTTTTCTGAATCATTTAATAAGATTTTCTTTTCAGATCCCTGACCACCATTGTAAGAGGGAGAGGAATCAATTTGCCCCATCACCCATATAGATATTCTTCTGTGATCCCACGTGAAACACGGCACTTGGCATGAAAAAGATGATCAGTATATAGATAGACCACAGCACCTTTTCTCCAGTTGGCAAATCTTTTGACAACCTAGATCAGCAATGCTCTGCTATTTGATCATGCAACATTTTGAAACGGGATATTAAAGCAGCTTCTCTGAAGGGGTCCACAGTCAAACAGTCAACACAAAACAACATAGCTTTAAGCATTTATGAAGGGGGAACGGAATGTACAAAGGAATGAGAATGCAACTTTTTTTTATTTACAAAATTTGAGTGAAATGAATGAACCCATTGCTTTACTTTAACAATGTTTACAAATGTCGACCTCCATTAAGCCAATTAGCTGATTTCATAATCAGCATTAGGGCTCCTCATGCCTTACACACTGGCAACTTTCAGGGAGGGTAACAAGACGTGTGATGGTGGTGGAGGGGAGGGGGGTGCGGAGAGGGTAAGGATATCCGTGGATGTAAAGAATTTTAGAAGTCATTTGATAAGATTGGGGAACTAATGACAAATTAGCGAGATAAGATTGAAAAACTACGGGTGACAGAAGGTGATAGTAAAATGGAACAACACTAACAAGTGAAATTGAAATCTTGCACTGTTTCTAAGTTGTTGCTCTCGGTCCCACTTTCTTTGGTCCAAAAAACGTGCAGAAATCATCGCTGTGCTTAAGAGAGTTCTATGCAACCCCCCCCCACCCCCCCGTCCATCAATGGAAATTGCAGAGATGTTTCATGGTACCGGGATTAACCAGGATACGGGCTTAACAAACAAAAATAAATCAGAGATAAGCCAGTATCTCGCTAATCAACAGTGCAATGCAATAACACTTACGTCTAATGTGCAATAATTCCAGCTTCTGGTACAATGGCAATTGAGGTGTAGGGGGTAGGTGTTGTTTCCGTTTACATCTCAGCCTAAGGACCAGTCAGTGTGTTAATTACTATTTTTATGATTATTTTCTTCAGTGAGTGTGTTAATTAGCACAAGGTGCATCCCAACTTCCGCACAGCGGCTGACGGATTATGAAAGCAATTCAACGTGTTGCATCAACTTGTACAGGTGGAGGGCCTTTTCATCAAAAGGTGAAAGAGGGGAACAATTAATCCAAAACAAGGTGTGTTCAACAGAAGAAAGTCAGTATAGATACAGAAGATAACCCGGGGTCAGGTTACCTTTGGAGCATGTCTAGCTGCAGATGACTCACTAGAACCCGAGCTGGATTATAAAGTTTCAGCCAAAGCATTCCACGGATTTATGCGTGGCATCTCTGTGTAGACCGAAATACAACTACATAGATGGACAGCAATTTTCTCCCTGATACATGGAGCACTGTGCTGGAAGCTGACAGAGGCAGAAGAAGACAGGAGGGCACTTGACCATGTAAGTCAACACATTTTTCTAGGATGAAGCAGTGGGGTAGATTTGCTAATATAGCAGTCAAGCATAGCTTGTGTAGAGTGCATTATTGGTGACAAGCTTTCCAACATCCAAATTTCTTGCTATAACACGCAATTAAGATCCGAAAGAACACCAAGAACAGCAAGGGATGGAACATATTATTCTTAGATCAAATTGAAGCCATTACATCTCATTTTAAGCAAGAAAAAGATGCTGAAGCCCAACAGTTCTAGGATGTTGCTTCTGGTTACAGTTACGGTAGCTGTTATATACTGTGCAACGCTCTTACCTTTCACAATAAACTGGTCCTTTTTGTAATCAGAGGCCTCCTGCACGAGATAGTTCCTCTCCTGAAATCCAGGCGTGCAGTCAAATGCAAGTGCTTGCAGTAGCACCTGGGAATATACAATTGAAGAAACAAAAGTTAATTTTATAAGTGTCTTTGTTGCGACCACTCAAAAAGCCGCGTTAGCAACTGTGCGCACAAGGTGAACAGGAGCACACCTCAAATGGAATGAACTGGATTGCAAACTGAACAAAAATACTTTTGATCATTCAAAAAGCTTCGGTTGGTGAACACAAGCTTCTGACTCACTTTATCTTCCGCCCCCACTCCCCACGGCCCCCTCTCCCGCACCTCCCCACCTAACCACTGTCCTTTTCCCCCGGTGTGGACACACATTAGCTGCCCAACGGTTTATTTGGATTTCTGCTGGCTGCAAACAAGAATAGTAGCCCCAAGGCACTCTGACATGAGTCACTAGACAGATGACACCAATGAATCAAACACATTTTGGAATATTATTTGGCAGATGCAGCCTTATTCTTTACGGTTCTGCTCGCTCGATAAATTATCATTTGCTGGCTCCCAATTTATTTTCTTTCCCCCCGCCCCCCCACCCCATAAAAAAAAAAACAATTTTATGATTAAAGACATTTTAAGAACATTTCTAGAATTTCATTCTGCTTAGCGGTTACACTGATGGCACTACAAGAACCAGGTAAAAAAAAATACACCCCCCCCCCTCACCTCCACATATTTTGGATTGCTCCCTGCAAAACCCAAAGCCAGAATCTGAAAACTTGTTGAAAAGGTGTAGCACTAAGGAATAAGCTAGAGGTGTGGGGAAAGGGCAAGTAAAAGGGACTGAAAGGATTGCTCTTAAAAGATTCAGCACAGATACAATGTACTGAATCACCTTCTTCTGTGCTGTATATCACTATGGCTCCACGGTTCAGTAAGCATGTCATTAGATAGGTGTTCCATATAAACTAAGGAGTGAAAAATAGCACATGAGTTTATTTAAATCCTGCCTGAACACCAACCTCTTTGACAGTCCCCCGCCCCCCCACTCGCCCCCATGCTTGGTATTTGACTCCATCAATTTTCCGAGATGTTATCTTACATGAAGGGCGCTATCGAAAGGCAAATTGCCGTTGTTACTCATTAATTTTGGTGGTAATTATCACCGTACTTTCCACTGCATTTCAGACCTTATTTTGAGGAGCTCTGGAAAGATGAGGGTTCAAAGCAACAAAAATGAATAAGCTCATCAAGTGCCAGCAGTTCTTCAGCCAGTAAGTCTGCCAGGTGCGATATTTAACATAGACGGAATTATATAATGATCCATAAGACTGACATATTTTGTGTCAGTCTTATTGATCGTCAAGTCGTGAATATAGACTATAACCTTTCGGTATCAAAAGGTTATCAAGCATTTCATTGAAAAATTAAGTTCTCAAGATGATTAGAGAAGCTCTTGGAAATAGTTAAGAAAAACTCCACCCCTCACTCTATTTTGTCCAGGGCTATAACAAACAGAATCATTGTCATAGAAGAAATACCCTAAAAGGTTTAGCCTTGAATTAAAAGACGAATGGTGCGCTGGGTAGAATACCTTCTAGTGCATCAAGCAACTCAGAAGAGTCCTCAGAATAAGCCCCTGGAGACTTGCATTTGGTTTGAGTCACAGTAACCTGAAATGAGCACAATTTCAATGGGGCTTGAAAGTATAATGGAAGCTTTAAGTACTTAACAGTATTTCCACATACTGAAGCACCTACTTGGCATTTATATAGAAAGCCCTCTCAGAAGTCTTTCACTGCAATAACTGCTCTCTGAAATGGGGTGAATATTCCCATTTCACAGGGGAGATGCTTGCTTGTATACTTTACACAGAGTGAACAGCAACTTAGATGGGAAAAATGTATAAAAACAGCTATTGCAGCATAGTTACATATGAGAGAGCAAAGGCTCTGAGACAGATGGGGAGGTTTCTGTGGGGTGCACTCTTACTAAAGCGCTCTGGGATTCTACCCTGCACAAGGGGCATTATAGAAATGCAAGTTGTTGTTCTTATGCAGAAACTTATGAAAACGCACCTCATGGAAAGGACATAACGTAGCAGAAGAGATTTTTTTTTCTGCAAAAAACAATACAACGCAGAATATTTCTCATCCTGACACACTGCCTGCCTCCTTTGCGTTTTGCTAACACACTGCAGACAAAGTTTGACCCCTTCTTTGAAATGAAACCCATTAATGATGGAATCACGCTAAATATTCAGGATCAATAACTCTGAAACCCTGGGAAAAATGCATTTACACGTGGCAATGATGAATAATTCATTAGTGAAAAACTACTTAGCACCCACACTTTTGTACACCTCCGAAATACTTCTTTTAATTTAAAAAAAGTAAAAATAATCAGTCGAAGATATCTTTTGACGTTAGACAATCTCCAAGGAGGTGTCATTTATCATTGGTGCTTATGGAAGGAAAAACAGCAAAAATACTAATAATGTAGTCTAAGGGTTTAATGGATTTTAAATGAGGTAGCCTGTCAGATGCGTTTTAGCTGAGTTCATATCCATCTGTGAATTCCCAGAACTACTTTGCATCCTGATCCATGTATCTGAACAACCTTGACTGCAGTCCACCACAATGCACAGTCACTACACTTTACAGTGCAGTCCTGTGAAGTACGTTGAAACATCCTCCAGATGCGAAAGGCACCACATCAAATGCAAGGAATATTTTTCCAATAAAGAATGCAGGTCTCGTTCACGAATAGAACGTGATCTCAACAGAAAACACACTGCCAGCAATAGACATGCCGAACATACAGTTATATAAAGCCTCTCATCCACGAGAGGGTCACAGTGACATATCACTGCCATTAAGTAAGGCATAGATTCAATCCCTCATAATCCATAGAATCATAGAGCACAGAAAGAGGCCATTTGGCCTATCGTGTCTGTGCCGGCTGCTTTAACATTATATTAATGACAATAATAATCCTAGCATTCGGTACATCATGTTGCCTCATCACGTTGTTGAGACATCTCACAGCGCTTCACATGATTTTGTTGGGAAATGTAGTGACTGTTTATTTGTAGGCGAACACAACGGCCAATTTGCACACAGCAATGTCCCACAAACAGTCTTGAAATTAGCAATTGCTTCATACATTTGTAGGTGTGGGAGGGGAGGTTGGCAAGGCCATATTTAGCTCCATTCCCAATTTAATGTGCTGTTTTCTTAGAGGAGAGGGTGGGAATTGGATCTCAATCAGACAGTTGCACCAATAAACCCCGAGAGGGGGAGAAAAAAAAGCTCTTCTGGACAGAAGCAAGGAAAACTAGAGGATGGAAGAGAGAGACAGAGAGAGACACACACACACCACAGCCACAATTTGTTCTGCACCACTTATCAATATTCAGACATGGACACTTATTCGAAACAACGTGATTTGGTTCAGAGTTAATAATCCATTCAAACACCTTATAGTGCTTTTTGGTTGCTCCTCTGAATCCACAGTAACCCCAATTTTATTGTGTTGAGAAAAACACATACAAATCAAAAATAAAAGCCATTATCACTCACTGCACTGCGAACGTTACACTTTATTTATACAACATTGTTTTGATAGCATCTTTACACATAATAGGATTTATCACACGGCGCAATGACACTGTAATGAGTGTTACTTTCTTCTGCTCTACTGCCTTCATGCATCTTTATTGTGCAGACATTTTACTGAAGTGCAGTTCTCCCAAACTACTGTACAGAAATCAAACCAGAAAAGTATACATATATATTTTCTTTTTCCCACCCTATCCTGTATGATGGGCGAATTTCTCAAAAAACTTTTTTTTTGCTTATTACATTGTACCGGAAAAATATTCCTGGTACGTTCCCTGCCTCATTGAAGGGAGCGAGCGAAAAATCAAATGTTTTAGAAAGCGACCCTATTGGGGTTTACCGATTGACTATCAAGATGGCAGTCTTTCCCATCCAGAGGTATTCCGTCAGCAGCTCAAGTGGTACCATGCAGAGTGTTACAATGTCCTGTGATCTGGCTAACACAGGCTGGTTATACATCCTTGCCCTCTCCGCACCGCTATCAGCGACCAAGCTTTCGTATTTTCCCCCTAGCCTCTGGAACTCCCTCCCTCTACACCTCTGCCTAATCCTATTCTCTTTCGTTCTTTAAAATCCACCTTAAAACCCAACCCTCAGACCCGCCATATGATCACCAACCCCTTCCTTCCCCCTCTCTCCTGCTCAGTTTCCAACACCATGTGTATAAAGTGCTCTGAGACCTTTTCCTACATGAGGGGTGCTATGAGTATACAAACTGTTGCTGCTGTTGTAATCTCGAGTAAAACAAATCATAGATAGATAAATCCTAAGCAAAATACCCTGCAACAACAGCAAATGTCTGTGTGTGTGAAGTGAAGTGATGAACGCAATCAGAGGAATGGCTTAATTAACTGAAAATTACAAGAGAGAAAAAAAAGCACAAGAAAAACAGCTCAGGATTTAAAGCATCGTCTGTGCTGTTTCAGAGTGTTGCCACTTGTGGGGGTGTACACACCCCTTAGAGTAGAGCCTCGGTCAGATTCCACACATCCGTGCTCCCACCCAAGTCACAGATTAGCCAGGTAGAAATATAATACTTGACCTTACTCAGGTCTTAGCTTTGTTGAAGCTGAACTCAGTCAATTTGATTGGGAAAGTGCAGCCATATCTGAGACAATCAGAGAACATGAGTCCCTGTGGCTACAGTAAATACATTTTAAAAATCCAATTGATAGTGCCTAGTGTTAATTGAACAAAGCCTCCCCCTCACATCGCCTAAACCCATATAAGTTGTGTAACATTTACGCTGTTAAATTCATCTGAAAAGCTCATTAAGAATGACTGGAGTGCTTTTCTGGCATTTCACATTGAACGCAACAACAAATGACTTTTATGGTTGGAGGCTTTTATGGTTGGAAAGTATTTAGACTTCTCCAGCAACTTAAATTTAGGTTAAATGTCATTCCCCTTCCTATCGAGCGATAACTTACTAAAAACTTTCAGCAATAAATGAGAACCTGAGATCAACACA